CTGAGTGATTATAAATATGCTCTACAGGTGTCTCCGATGGTGTTTGTTGAGTTGTCATAGATCAAGATTAGGATTTGTCACTCCGTATATCAGAGAGGTATCTCTGGGCCCTCTCGGTAATGCAAATCACTATGAGCCTTGCAAGAAATTTGTCTAATCAGTTAGCCACGGGATGATGCATTACAGAATGAGTAAAGAGACTTGCTGGTGACGAGATTGAACTAGGTATGATGATACTGACGATCGAATCTCGGGCAAGTAACATACCGATGACAAAGGGAACAACGTATGTTGTTATGTGGTTTGGCCGATAAAGATCTTCGTAGAATATGTAGGAGCCAATATGAGCATCCAGGTTCCGCTATTGGTTATTGACCAGAGATGTGTCTTGATCATGTCTACATAGTTCTTGAACCCGTAGGGTCCGCACGCTTAACGTTCAATGACGATTTGTATTATGAGTTTCGTGTTTTGATGAACCGAAGTTTGTTCGGAGTCCTGGATGAGATCACGGACATGACGAGGAGTCTCGAAATGGTTGAGACATAAATATTGATATATTGGAAGGTTATGTTTGGACACCAGAATGGTTTTGGATAGGTTCAGGCATTTTCCGAAGTACTGGGGGTTACAGGAACCCCCGGGGGATTAATGGGCCACAATGGGCCTTGGTGTAGAAGAGAGAGGGCTGGCCAGAGGTGACGCGCACCCCCCATTGCCCAGTCCGAATTGGACAAGGGGAGGGGCGGCGCCCCCCTCCTTCCTTCTCTTCTCTCCTCTTTCCCTTTTTCTCCTACTTGGACTAGGAAAGGGGGAACCGAATCCTACTTGGACTAGGAGTCCAACTAGGACTCCTGATACGTCTCCGTTGTATCTACTTTTCCAAACACTTTTGCCCTTGTTTTGGACTCTAACTTGCATGATTTGAATGGAACTAACCCAGACTGACGATGTTTTCAGCAGAATTGCCATGGTGTTATTTTTGTGCAGAAATAAAAGTTCTCAGAATGACCTGAAAATCGACGGGGATTATTTTTGGAATATATAAAAAATACTGGCGGAAGAATCCACTTAGGGGCCCACACCCTGTCCACGAGGGTGGGGGGCGCGCCTACCCCCCTGGGCGCGCCCCCTGCCTCGTGGGCCCCCTAACGCTCCACCGACCTCAACTCTAACTCCATATATTCACTTTTGGGGAGAAAAAAATTAGAGAGAAGGATTCATTGCGTTTTACGATACAGAGCCACCGCCAAGCCCTAAACTCTCTCGGGAGGGCTGATCTGGAGTCCGTTCGGGGCTTCGGAGAGGGGAATTCGTCGCCATCGTCATCATCAACCTTCCTCCATCACCAATTTCATGATGCTCACCGCCGTGCGTGAGTAATTCCATCATAGGCTTGCTGGACGGTGATGGGTTGGATGAGATTTATCATGTAATCGAGTTAGTTTTGTTAGGATTTGATCCCTAATATCCATTATGTTCTGAGATTGATGTTGCTATGACTTGGCTATGCTTAATGCTTGTCACTAGGGACCGAGTTCCATGATTTCAGATATGAACCTATTATGTTTTCATGAATATATGTGAGTTCTTGATCCTATCTTGCAAGTCTATAGTCACCTATTATGTGTTATGATCCGTTAACCCCGAAGTGACAATAATCGGGATACTTATCGGTGATGACCATAGTTTGAGGAGTTCATGTATTCACTATGCGTTAATGCTTTGGTCCGGTACTCTATTAAAAGGAGGCCTTAACATCCCTTAGTTTCCAATAGGACCCCGCTGCCACGGGAGGGTAGGACAAAAGATGTCATGCAAGTTCTTTTCCATAAGCACGTATGACTATATTCGGAATACATGCCTACATTACATTGATGAACTGGAGCTAGTTCTGTGTCACCCTATGTTATAACGGTTGCATGATTGATCGCATCCGACATAATTATCCATCGCCGATCCAATGCCTACGAGCTTTTCATATATTGTTTTTTGCTTATTTATTTTTCCGTTGCTGCTGTTACAATCACTATAAAACCAAAAATATTACTTTTGTTACCGTTACCACTACTATCATATTACTTTGCTACTAAATACTTTGCTGCAGATATTAAGTTATCCAGGTGTGGTTGAATTGACAATTCGGCTGCTAATACTTGAGAATATTCTTTGGCTCCCCTTGTGTCGAATCAATAAATTTGGGTTGAATACTCTACCCTCGAAAACGGTTGTGATCCCATATACTTGTGGGTTATCAACTCCCCCCATGGTGCGCCCCCTCCTAGGGTCCTCCTCCTCTCCTCCCCCTTTATGTACGTGGGGAGGGGGCACCCCAAAGACACACAAGTTGATCTTTTAGCCATGTGCGGTGCCCTCCTCGACAGTTACACACCTCGGTCATATCGTTGTAGTGCTTAGGCGAAGCCCTGCGTCGGTAACTTCATCATCACCGTCACCACACTGTCGTGCTGACGGAACTCTCCCTCGGCCTCAACTGGATCAAGAGTTCGAGGGACGTCACGAGCTGAATGTGTGCTGATCGTGGAGGTACCGTGCGTTCGGTACTAGGATCGGTTGGATCGCGAAGACGTTCGACTACATCAACCACGTTTCTAAACGCTTCCGCTTTCGGTCTACGAGGGTACGTAGACACACTCTCCCCTCTCGTTGCTATGCATCTCCTAGATAGATATTGCGTGATCGTAGGTAAAAATTTTAAAATACTGCGTTCCCCAACACAAATCAGCCGCCACCACCTGCAGGTGCTCCAACATCACGCAACACTCATGGCCCCGCCACCCAGCAACCACAACCCCGCCGCCATGCCCCTTGCGAGTGTGTCTCCATCGACCGTCACCCCCAGCCTGCGCTGGACGTCACTGAGAGGGGAGAGAAGGCTCTGCCGCCAACAACACCAGCCGGAGGGGCGGGTTGGCTCAGCGGGCCCGGCGGCGCATCCAAGACATACTTGTTGATCATAGAGTACAAGCAACCATGACACATCACCAAGATTTTAAATGAGATTCAGCTTGAATGTATCTCATGATCCCGTGAATACTCTACCAGCTTTGCCTAGTTTGTTTTACCTACCAGTGATGCATTTATATCTTAGGTCCAAGTTACACGTGTTAGACTCAAACACAATGATAAGAATATGTACTTCGTCATATTGAAGTTGTCATGCACAAATCCTTGTACCTTGCATTTGAAACTCTATCCTGACATTTGGTACCGCTCTCTTAACTTCACACGATTCACTTTCAACTGTAGTCCCATCTTTACTTCATCACACTCTGTATTTCCGCAAAAATATAATTTCTTTCCCACTCCCATTTTGTGTTCCCCGCTTCTAGAGTATCCATTAAACGTTACCACATTGATCTTCAAGTCATCATATCTGACAACACCCTTGTATCACATCATGTTAGCCACTTTCTTGGTCTGTGTGAAAGTGAGCAACTTACATAGTATAGGCCACATATAAGAGTTATTTGAACCAAACATCTTTGTTGTTGTTGACTTCCCTCATGTAGCAAAAAATGAAGAAAATTTCATCGATATCCTTTAGCCATCCTAAATTGAATTTGTAAATGTGTCATCATTTTTCTAGGATAATCTTTTTTGCATGGCCTTAGCTACAATATGAGTCTCCTTCTACCATGTCCTTGACACTTTTGTGTGTGTACTAAACACTACAGGACACACGGTTTGTAATCTTCAGACTTTTTTATATTTTTGACTTTCGAACACTTCCATTGATTTCAATATCCACCAGTCCATCACCATGTACCAATCTTGATAGATCCAATCACAACTTAGACCTGGTACTCGTCCACACTGTTTCGACACCCTTTTGATTTACGTTAGATCAATCAACAAGAAAATGTCCAATGTTATTCTATTGTCACATTTGCTCATGTGATGAGTGTTTTATCATACCCATCGTCAAGCATTGTCTTCTGTATATGTTACACAACTTGTCATTTTGTGATATCAAGGTTCTAGTAATCACCATCTTTGGAGAAGTCATTCTTCTGAGAAGCAACCATTTGATGCTTCTGAAGCCCCAAAGTGTAAATGGGGACGTCCGGGCGTGTTCGCCACGTCGGATTGACGGCAAGGCCTTGAGCCAAATCTCTTGAAGATGTCCTCGACATGCCCTCTATCTTTCCTTTTTTTCTGCTTCGTCTACATAGACGCCATCGTAACTCCGTCGTCATACCCAACCCACAAACGCCGTCACTGGAGGCAGAACCCACAACGCCGCTGACCATGCCGCCACCGGACAAGTTCGTTGCCGCCAAATGCCACCCCCGTAAGTGCAACTCCTCCGGACAAGTTCAAGTCCGTCACGCAGAACAAGAGCTGGAGCATGTTGCCAACTTTCTTGAAACGCATCGACAACTTCGAGATCAACATAGTCACATGCAACTTTTCAATGATCTTGTGGAGCATATGTGGATCCACGCTGGAAAACACCGAACTATTCTTTATGTTTAAATTATGCACCGTGGACAAATTTTATGTTTGCGCTATTGCATTTTTATGTAGGATTTCTTATTTATTTATGTTTACTATCCATTGTTTATGTGTGATGATCGAGTGCATATATTTACATGGGGTTTGAAATTTTAAAAGTAGGGATTGTGGTTGCAAACGGGGACATTTGAGGGCCGGACCGCTGCCATGTACAGGAGGACGGATTTGCAAAACACCCTGACAATTCCGTCAGGGATAATCTAACCGTGACTGGCAACTGGGCCCCGAAACCTGTGGGGCCATCTTCCGTCAAACGGAGAAGTTGCGGCCTTGCGGGTACCTCGAAATTCAGTCACGGTGCCCCACGGCGACACGCCAATATACCAGCCAAAGATTCCCCATGGGGCGCCTTGCGCTCGTCCAACCTCTCCGGTAATCGCCAAATCGGGCAAAGCCATCCATCCCCGACGGCGAAGGCCGGACCCCGGGCGGAACCGAGACCTAGCCCATCGCCGCCCACAATGCGCCGCATCCTCCTCGTTCTCGCGGCCGCAGCGGCGGTCGTCGTCGCCGTCGCCGGCGCCGAGCCCGTCCTCCGCCAGGTTACGGACGTCCCCACCGCCGTGTCCTGGGGCGTCTCCGACGCGGACGCGCTCTTCTGCGACAGCTGGAGGCTGTCGGTGGAGACGGCCAACGCGGGCCCCTGGCGCACCGTGCCGGCGCGCTGCGGGGCGTCCGTGCGCGCGTACATGGAGGGCGAGCGCTACGCGTCCGACTCCGCCGTCGCGGCCGCCGAATCCCTCGCCTTCGCCGCGCAGGCGCTCGCGTCGGGCGAGGGGGGAGCCATGCCGGCCTGGGTGTTCGACGTCGACGAGACGCTGCTCTCCAACGCACCCTACTACGCCGTCAGCGGATGGGGGTAATTGACCCCGGCCCAGCTCTGGTTTTTCGGGTTACATTGATTGTGCCTGCTCAAATTAATCTGTCACTATTATTGCCTCCTGCATTTGAGATTGGCAATTCATTGGATTCCATGAGAATTTGTGTCAACTCATAACTACCTTAAGAATTTGTGAGTAGGTTTTAGATCTTTCGTCAAGTATTGTTTGATATGCTTGAAGTTTATATATAGGTGTAAATCTGTCTGAAGCCTGACAAAACAGCACCTGACTGGTAGCCTGCTCTCTTGAGCGTTTGCAGATTGGTTCTTACGAAAGGACAGCATAATCACAGTTCTTCTGTTTGCAATCTTGTTTTACCTGAAGGGCGTGAACATCATTGCCCAAGCTACACCTTCATTGCAAGAAACAAACTGTAGTATGGTTACCTGCATTTTGTTAAAAAAACAGGGCTCAAATAACTAACTGGAAACCACATTTTAGCAACAAAATTATCAACATCTAAGCCTATTAAATTAAGTGTTGGATTTCACAGCAACCTGGCTCGACTTTCTAGCTCTTCCAGCAACGCATGCTGCAGACAGCAAGATTATAGCCCCTCCTTTCCTTTTCGAAGCAACTATCTCCACATTTATTCTCCCTTTCTTCTTCAGACCCACCCAAACATCAGCAACGCCTTATCTTTCTGCTCAAAATTCTCAATATCCATCACCAGCAATTCGAAGTCATGGTGAAGCAATCTCCAGTTTCTTAGCAACCGGGTCAGTGTGGGCTGTAGAACATGCAGTAATTTCCATGGAGTATGATTGAAACATGTATCATTCTTAATTTCCAAATGTTTCAAAAGGGCAAATGATGTGATAATATTAAGGATATTCTACTTTGTAATTTCTATTGATAAAAATTTCTAAATCATTTTTTCACAGCTCCACTGATTTTGCAGGTTACAGGAATTCAACGAGACCTCATTTGATGCATGGGTAGACGTAGCGAAAGCACCTGCATTACCATCTAGCTTGAAACTGTACAATGAACTGCAAGGACTTGGTTTCCATATTATCCTCTTGACTGGACGAAGTGAATTGCAGCGAAATGCTACAGAAGACAATCTATTGTTTGCGGGCTACAATTCATGGGAAAAACTCATACTGAGGTATTTGCTATAACTCATGTATCAAATGACTATCTTTTTGCATCAGACGCTATCTTGCTTGGATCCAAGAAGTTTCTGGAAGACCCTAGTTTCCAAATAATATCCTTGGTGATGGTCACTCAACACTCAGTATGGTAAATGAACTTCAGGAGGCTTCCTGAAAACAACTTGTTATTAAGTCAACGTGACATATCTTATCTGTACCGTAAGAAGAAGTACTCCCTCCGTCCCAAAATAAGTGTCTTAACTTTGTACTAACTTTAGAGTTTGATCCAAACAATCTTAGCCATTCGTCTTATTTATAATATGTAATCACCAGATCCAAGGATTAAGAATTAGCTGGAATCTTACCTCCTAATCTCTACTCTGATAATGGTATATTTTGTTGCTGGTTCAAAATAATAAATCCCCTAACCAATCAAGTATCTACATGTTAATTCTAGGTACATGGTTCATGATTTAGTGTAGGCTTAATGCTTATTCTTTCTTCCTATGATTAGTTTACATCATAAAAGTAATTTCAATAATGAGTACACTTACATTGTAAATATAGTTTGACTCATGCATTAATATAATTTCTAGTACAATATATATTGCGGTAAATGTGCACTGCATGCGGATGATTGCTACTTTGCTAGTCCATAGAAAGCTCCCAGTGAATTGTGTCACAATTTAACTTCTAGCAGTGTGTTGAATGATGTTCAATGTAAGGAGTGTTGCCAAAATTCTATCAAACAAAGAACTCTGCTGTACTATGATTTTCTATATTGCCATTGTAGTTTAGAATCGTTAGTGGATCATTTTGAAGTTAGGCTGTTAACCATCTTTCTCCTACTTTGAGTTGCGTATAATGTGGCTATAAAAAAGAGAGGCCGTGCAGTGTAAACCATCTAGTTTTATCTAAGTTTTATTTCCCCATTTTTTACTTGTGCTTGTGCTCTTGCTATACACAAAAGGAAAGTACATACAGTCATTAAAAAATTACTCCATTTTGCAGCCAATTCTATGTACCATAGCCAGTTTGTATTAATCGGAAGTATACACATGCTGCAGGCAAATCTCTGATATTGGCAAGACCGCTGTGCAATACAAATCAGAGAGGCGAGCTGCGATGGAAGCGGAAGGGTTCAAGATACTTGGAAACTCTGGGGATCAATGGAGTGATTTGATAGGATTGCCAATGGCAACGAGATCCTTTAAGCTTCCAAATCCAATGTACTTCATCAGCTGATTTTTTATTGGTGGCGCTGAAGAAAATAGCTATAGCTATTCTTCTTGTACAACACTCCAACCATTTTTATGGCCCCGCCCTCAAAGTTGTTTTGGCGGTCTTAATTTGTAAGAATTCTTGAATCACAAATGTGGACTCATCTTCAACTACGTCAGTAGCTGGGTTGGGTACCAGCAAATTTTCCACTGATCTCTATGGATATATATTGCTCAGAAGTGCATGGCTTATGTGTTGTATGTGAGAGGATTGGTGATACAAATTTGAAAATTGCACCACAAGTTGTACTGAGTTCTACAGATGTGATTTCATTTAAATATAAACAGCACACAGTGCTGGAGTACATTAAGCTCTGTTGATTACTGCTAACTGAAAGTGCCAAACATTGTGTATTTAGACATTGCTAGCCATCCAAATGTCTGAATATGCATTGTGCTGGTTCACATCAACCTCTGTTTATTATACAAAAATAAATAATGGATTTGTGTTGTCAGTTCAATCTTAGCCAATTGTTCTTGGCATCATCAGACAGAACATACAGTTTTATAACATTGGTCACAGATGAAAACAGAAGCAAAACTTGCTCCCAGGAGCTTCAGTTGTTGCAGAGATCTCTAGTGGCAAACGAAGACATGGAAGGGGTATTCTTTCTGTCTCTGGTAAATCTTATCTCACCCCATTTTGCAAAACTTTGCATTGCCTTTAGCTAGCTGCAATCTCTGCTGCACAGCTCTTTCTTGCTCTCGTATGCAGGTGGTTTACCGCTTCTGTGCGAAAAGGCCCCTGCTCCATGCTGCTCTTGACGGCAGCCGGCCAGATGAACCCCTGGGCGGTGCCTTCTTCTTCTTCCCTATCGTCTTGCTGCGAGGCCCTTGAACGTGAAGCGGTGAAGTCGACGAGCGGCTCGCCTTCCTGCCGATGTGGGCGGTGGTCTTCTTTGCGAGATCTTGCAAGCATTTGACGTCGGACAGAGATGTGAAGGACTGGGACTTCCCTTTGTAGTACTTGGACAGCCCTGTCCTGTGAGAAGCGAATCGTCCGTTTGTCATCAGTTTTGATTTTCGCTCACTGAGAAGGAATATGCTGGGTTTGGACGTCGATCCACTCACCTGACGGGAAGGTGCGCCAGCAGCGGCGCCAGCTCGTAGAGAGGCCCGCCGCCGTCCCCGTCCAGCCGCATCGCGTCCGACGGCGATGGCGACGGCGTAGGATCACCCGCCACCGGGGAGGACTCCGCGTCGTCGTCTGTCAGGCTCGACATGATCGACGAGCACAGCGATCCGCTGGACGCGCCGGAATCCAAGCTCGCCGCCATCGACTCGGAGAACGAGTCGTCCCCGGCGGTGTCTTCACCTTCTCTACGCCGTCCGCCTACACGGAGCTCGCCCATGAAGCCTAGGCCTGACAACACATGAACCAAGCAGGCAACGAAATGCGCATGCAGTGTGGTATCGCCACAGGTGGAAGAGGAGCAGGCCATCTTGGTTTGGTCCTGCTTATATGTGCAAGAAGATCGCGAGGAGGCAGGGGGCGATGGGCTGGATGGATAACGGCGGTGGAAATGGGCAGAGCGAGAATTGCGGGATATGCATCATCATGGCACCAAAGGTTTCCGTGGGCGGAACGCCAGAATTCTTCTCAACCCCCCTGGTGGTCAGACTGGATGGGTGATGAGGAAGGCGGAAAAGGAAGGCGATCGTCATCCAAATCCGAGTTTCGGCACCTATCGCTCCTCGACCGACGGACGGACGGATCGATGGATGCTCGTGGCCCACGCTTCTGTGGGCCGTCGGATCAAGGAGCCCCCACACATAACGCGCGCGTATGAGTTGAAGCGATTAAATGGGAGTGGTTAATTGCTAATGTAATTAGGGTAGGGATAAACATTGCATTCAAAGGCTTGTGCATGCGTGTGCGTCTCGATTGTGGATGTGATCGGCAGTGTGCAAGTTCGGAAAGTCTTCTCTCGCCACGATTAGCTGCCGAAAAATGGAAAGCTTATCTCAGTACGATCAAGAAATGGAAAGTTTTGATGGCTAGGACACCCACTCATCAGGATTAAGTCTTGATACTCGCATTGTTGTGGATTTATTTCAGAATTTTCGGCGGTACGCGTTCAGTGAGAGTACACCCACTTATCAGGATTAAGTCTTGATACTCGCATTGCTGTGGATTTATTTCAGAATTTTCGGCGGTACGCGTTCAGTGAGAGGAGATGTTCCCATGATGACTTCTTCAATCTAAAGATGATATGTCGGCTCAGTCTCTCGAATGTGCTTATAGATGTAGAGTGTGCATGTGTGTGTTTATAGAGATATAAGTGTATGCGTGTATATATTTCCTCTGTCCGAAAATACTTGTCATTAAAACGGATAAAAAGAGATGTATCTAGAACTAAAATACATCTAGATACATCCTCTTTTATCCATTTTGATGACAAATATTTCCGAACGGAGGAAGTATGAGTACTTGCGTCTGTTGTTCTGAAAAAAATGCATGAGAAGCTGGGGCGACACACATGGACGCCTTACGCGTCGTTTTTTTTTCTCGAGAGAGAATCCTTGTGCGCCAGTTGGGGAACACCTCCCGCTAATGGGCTAGTCAAATAAAAAAGTTGAGCCATACCTCAATTCCTAGTTCTACCAAAAAAAGGTTTCATGGTTCTTCGCCTTTTTATTTCCCTGGTTTACTTGGTTCACAAGGTTTCCAGGTAAGGGCTCTTTCATTTAAAGGAACTTCATTAGATTTTTGGAGGGTTAGAGTCATTTAATTTTTTACTACGTTAGTTTGATTCACATGATTAAATCCTACAGAACTTTTTCCTAAGAGATTATGTGTACTATTGGAAATTTAGTATCCACTCTAACCTTCTTTTACAATTTCTTTATTTTTCCTATGGAATCAAACACTCTATGCAAATCTCATAGGATTCAAGTGGGCATGTCACTTTAATCCTGTATTTTTCATATTCCTGCGTATTGAGAATCCTGCGAATCAAAGAGGGCCTTAGCCAGCTGACTGTTGACCATTGGCGGGGGGCCCAGTGCTCGTTGACTTTTCAAAAACTTCATGCAATTCAAAAAATCAATAAATTAAAATAAATCATGAATTTGATAAACAATCATGCAATAAGTTCAGGAATTTGGAAAGTTCACAAAACTTGACAAAAGTTAAGGAATTCGGAAAATCTTCATGAATCTAGAAAAGTGTTCTAATTTTAAAAAACCTTCAATAAAATTAACAAAAATTTAATGAATTGTTTTTAAAAATTGGGAACTTTAAAAATGTTCATCGATTTTGAAAAAAAAATCACATATTCAAAAACAATGTTTGTAAATTTGGAAAAAGTTCACAGGGTTATGTAAAAAAGGTTCAGAAATTTTAAAAAATTCATGTATTTGAAAAGGTATTGAAACTAAAAAAAGGTTTCATGCATTTGAGAAAATAAAAAGAAAAAAACAGAGAAACAAAACACAAAATAAAAATAGAAAATAAAATAAATGAATTTAAAAAGAATAAAACTGGTCCAAAAAACTAAAAAAACAAAACAGGATTATCATCACGAGGGAGTCACCGTAAATCGGCTCTCCTAGTTATGTCTAGCCTTAAGATTATTCCCCCCTCTCTTGGGGTGCCCTGCCCCTCCTTATATAAGTTGAAGGGGTGGGTTACATGTAGAGTCCATCTCGGACTAAGACTTAAACTATTCTGACTTCTCTTCATGGGTTTCTTAACATCTTGGGCTTCTTAACGTCTCAGGCTTATTAACCCCAGGCGACTCTGTCTGCTGGGTTATGACTGTCTATCGGTTTACCATCTGGCTTATCATCTGCCGGGTTATCATCTGACTTAACGTCTGCCGGGTTATCATCTGCCGGTTCATCATCTGTCGGTTCATCATCTGACTTAATTGTCCCAGCCGAGTCATAACTCCGGCCGGGTCATACTGCGGGGTATATCCCCGACATTAGCCCCAGTTTAATTTGGATTTATCCATGTTAAACTGATCCTGTAAAACAAACAAAAGAATAATTTTGATAGATTATGCTCCGGTTTAAGAACTTTTGTAAGCCGGCACCTGATCATCCTTAACTCCTTGTCATTTCCTTCTTCTAGAAAATCCGGGTCAACAAGCCAGCTTCATACTCAGTTTGTGACATTGGTTTCTCACAGAGAAATACTATGAAGGATAATTCATTTGATTAAGCTCCCAATGCTTAACAAAAAATATTAGTCTTGAAATACTCATCTGATTTTCAACCGGCTTAAAGATGTAAAACTTGCTGGTTTATCATTGCAAAAATTGCCGGTTTATAAATATTGATGGCACCGGGTCATAATTGTTTGTTAACATCAGCTTTGAAAACGTACCTCCCTTATACGTATATCACTTGTAGCCCCCAAGTCTTAAGAAGGGAACATAGTAACAGCTTTAAGACTTGCTTCAATATGAATGTCACAAGCTTGAAGAAATCTAGGTTGATCATGTCAATCATTAGTCATAAACTGAGTATTCCACATATGTAGCCCCCAAGTGCCCGGTTGTCATGCTTGCAGCAACATGGTACTTGTAATTGCCTTATGCTCATAAAAAACTTCAACTACCATAGCCCCCAAGGGCCGGGTCATTATGCAATAATGAACAGGGACTTTGTAGATATGTAAACTTGAACAGCAACGTGTAGCCCCCAAGGGCCGGCTTAGTAAGATAATACTGAGCTGAGACTTTATATATACTTTACTGAAAATAATATCATATGAAGTAACCTTCATCATGGGGCTCAAACCCACGACCACAAGGTTAAGAGCTTTGTACTTTACCAACTGAGTAGTGGACCTTTCAATATAATGGATTAAGACTTGTGTACCTTGAATTTTTGAGAGGAGCAATTGGTAGCCCCTAAGGGCCGGCTTATTATGATGTGATGAGTCGGGTCTTCAATAATGCTAGTGAAAATGACTTTGCATTAGCCCCCAAGTGTCATGGTGCATGCTTGCAGCGA